TCTTTCTTTCTTTCTTTCTTTCTTTCTTTCTTTCTTTCTTTCTTTCTTTCTTCCTTTCTTCCTTCCTTCTCTCCCTCTCTCCTTCCTTCCTTCCTTCCTTCCTTCCTTTAATTTTCCTTTTTTTTTTTTTTAAAGATAGTTCTCTGTGTAACCTTGGGTGTCCTGGAACTCCCTCACAGAGCAGGATGGCCTTAAACTCAGAGAGATCCATTTGCCTCTGCCTCCTGAGTGTTGGGATTAGTGTGTACTACTACCACTCAGCTCATGATCTGGTCTTTTAAAAGATATTACTCACAAAATGACAGGAAGAAAGAATAAAAGCCTATATCCTTGATAAGCTGTCGTTGAGACTCAAGAAAGCCACCTCCCAGGGAAATTTTGTCTGTGCTATTTTTATTACTATGGCTCTGTAGTACAATTTGAGATCAGGGATGGTGATACCTTCAGCAATTCTTTTATTGCTCAGGATATCAGTTTTCCTGTCTCCATCCTTTTTTTAAGTGTAGGAACTTAGTGCCATGAAGTTGCCTCTTAGTATTGCTGTCATTGTTTTATAAATTTGGGTATGCTGCATTTTGTTTTTATTCACTTGTAAAATATTTCATTTCTTTCTATTTCTGTCTTGACCCATTTTACATCTATTAGAATATTGTTCATTTGCTATGAATTTGTAAGCTTTTTCTTGTTGATCCATCCTTATTAATGGTGGTCAAATAGGATACAGGGTGTTATTCAATTTTTTTGTATATTTTTAGACTTGGTTTGTGTCCAAGTATGTGGTCAGTTTTGGAGAACATCCCATGAGCTTCCGATAAGAAAGATGTTCTTTTGTGTTTAGGTGAAATGTTCTATAAATACCTCTTAGGTCCATTTGCTTATAACATCAGTTAGGTCCAGCATATTCCTGTTTAGTTTTTGTTTTAGTTTTAGTTTTTGTCTAGATGATCTGTATATTGGTGAAAGTGAAATATTGAAGTTACCCACTACCACTTTATAAGGGACAATGTGCAATTTAAGCTGTAGTAATGTTTCTTTTATGAAACCTGGGTACCCTTGTGTTTGTTGTATAGATGTTAAGAACTGTAATATTCTGTTGGAGAATTTTTTCTTTGGTGAATATTCAGTGCTTTTCTCTGTCTCTTCTTAGTAGATTTTCTTTATTGATTCTATCTCTATAATCAGGTCCTAAATAACTAATTTAATTATCTTTCATTGTTTGAAGTCTATTTCATTGGATATTAAAACAACTACACTGGCTTGTCTTATGTCAATTTCTTGGAGTATCTTTTTCTATCCTTTTAACTTGAGTTAATGTTAATGTTTCCTAGATACAGCAGAAGGATGGATCCTGTGTTCCAATTCTCTCTATTTGTTAGTCTATATCTTTTGATTGGGCAATTGTGGCCGTTGATGTAGAGTTATCAATGAGCAGCATTGGTTGGTTCTCATTATTTTATTGTTGTGGTGTCCCCCCACTTTTTTCCAGTTTACTTAGTGTTCTGTCTGTTTCATGTGCCTTTGTAGGCATTTCTTTCTTTAGGTTAGGAAACTTTTCTTCTATGATTTTATTATTTTTTTTCTGGGTCTTTGAGATGGGATTCTCTTTCCTCGATTTTTATTATTCTTAGATTTGATGTTTTCATAGTATCTGAGAATTCCTGGATGTTTTATGTCTGGAACTTTTTGGAGCTTTGATGAAATATTCAGATCTTTGACATTTTCTTTGACTGGTGTATCCATTTCTTTTATTATATTTTAAATTCCTGAACTTCTTTCTTCATATCTTGTATTTTATTGGTAGAACTTGCCTCTGTAGTTCTTGTTTGAATTCCTAAATTTTTCCTTTACAGAATTCCCTCAGTTTGGATTTTCTTTATTGATTCTATCTCTATAATCAGGTCCTAAATAACTAATTTAATTATCTTCCATTGTTTATTTTTGTTTGCCTATATTTCTTTTAGGGGATTAGGAATTTTCTCTTTAAGTTTATCTATAACATATTCATAAAGGCAATTTTGAAGTCACTTTCTTGTACTTCAGCTATATTGCTTTTCTCAGGGCCTACTGTAGTAAGGTTGCTGGGCTCTACCGGTGAAACATTGTTCTGATAGTCATTGACTGTGTTTTTATTCTGGCATCTGGATATCAGCATTTGGGATGATTATATACTAGTTGCTGATGTCTGGTCTTATCTTTGTAGGGTGGGCATTTTGTTCTTTGGTTTCTGTTGCTGTTGCTATTTGGTAGGAAATTGTAGTAGCTGTGTGTTACTTGGTAGGGAATGCTTCTCAGATTTTGTCTGATTTGGCCACTGGAGGTTTTGGGTAGAGTGTGTTTGTAGGTATAGGAAGCTGACACTTAGGGATAAGGATGGGCTAGAAAGGGGGCCAAAGATGTCCACAGGAAGGAGAAAAGCAAGGTATGCCACCAGGATCTGCTTAGTTCCTTGAGAATTGGAGCAGAGAGGGAGAAGAGGCCACAGAATGTGCTGTGCTACTGATCTGGGGATGAGACTAGGTACTGGTTTTGTAGAAGATGAGGAAGTGGGGAAGATATGAGGGTCATATACCTGCTTACGTGATGACCTACCTGCACCTCCTCTGAATGGTTTGACTAGCAGGCTCCCATAGAATCTCTACGGGAATTGGTGGCTGAGACAAAGGGTTGGGGTGGTGAGGAAGTCTGTAGGAGAAGATCTGTATCAAGTTACCAGGTCTTACGTTGAGGTCCTCAATCCATGCGGAGTTTAGTTTTGTGCAGAGTGAAAGATATACATTTAGTTTTCTTCCTCTACATATAGCTATTCAGTTTCATGAGCAGTATTTTTAAATAATACATTATTTTCTTTACCTTTTAACTCTGTAAAAAAGAAATCAGGTGTCTAAAGGTTTACGAACATGTATCTGGATTCTTAATTTTATTCCATTGATCAATGTATCTGTTTTTATTCCATTAACATAGAGCCTTTATTACTGTAACCATGCAGTATAATTAAAAACCAGGAATAACCAAGGTGATAACCAAGTTTTTATTTTCAGTATTGTTTTAGCTAACTTGAGAATTTTGGGTTTTTTTGTGAAATTCAAAATTTAAAGAAAAAATATTTTGTGAAAAATTGTGTTTACATTTGATGGGAATGGTTGTTGGAATCTTGCTACAGATGGAAAATTATAAATTGCTTTTGATAGGATGGCCATTTTCAAAATGCTAATCCTAGCAATCTATGAACATGAGAGACTTCATCTTCAGGTATTTTCTTCAATTTTTTTGTGTTTCTATTAGAGAAACTACTCACCTCTTTTGATAGGTTTATTCAAAGGTATTTTACTTTTTATTCATCCCATTGTAAATAGTATTACTTTCCTTATATTGTTCTTGGTCTGTTTTTTGCTTGTCTATAGGAAGGTTACTGATTTTTTATTTGTCTCAATATTGCAATCTGCTACTTTGCTGAATGTATTTGTGAGCTGTAGAAGCTTTCTGGTGAAATCCTTATGATCTTTTCTACATAAAATCATATCATTTGTAAATAAGGATACTTTAATTCATTTCTTTCCTATTTTTATCCTCTGCACTTGCATTCCTTCACTTGTTTTATTGCTTTAGCTAGGACGTTAATAACATATTGAACAGAAATAGAACCAATAGATATCTTTATTTCTGGTTTTAGTGAAAATGGTTTGACTTTTTCTCCAGTTAGAATGACATTTCCCCCGATCTTGTTGTAAATTGTATATTAAGGTGCATCTTCTTTCTTATTTTCACGAAGACTTTCATCATGAAGAGATATTGGTTTCTGTTAAAGGCCTTTTCTGCATCTAGTAAAATGGTATTTCGTATATTTATTTGTTGGATTGTTTTAAAAAATTATTTACTATGTAGAACTATTCCTGCAACTCTGGGATGAAGCTAACTTGACCATGGTGGATAATCTTTCTGATATTTTCTTGAATTTAGTTTGGTAGTGTTTATCAAGAATTTTGGTGCTATGCTAATCAGAGATATTGGCCTATAATCTTCTTTTCTATTGAGTCTTTGCCTAGGTTAGGGATCAGGGTAATACTGACTTTATAAAAAAATTCGAAAGTGTTCCTTCAAATTTCTATTTTTCAGAATTTTTTAGGAGTATTATTGCTAGTTCTCCCTTGAATTCCCGTTAAACTACTATTTAATATATATCCAATAGTCTCTGTTACTACAGAGATGCTTACTCATTATGTATATTGCTCCCTTATTCACAATTTTCAGGAAATGGAAATTGCCTAGATCTCCATCAACTAATAAATGGATAAAGGAAATGTTTCACATACATAATAGAAGATTATTCAAGCTGCTAAGAAAATTAAATTTGCACATAAATGGATGGAATTGGGAACAGTTATTTTGAGTATGACAATCAAAACTCAGAAAGGAAAACATTGCATGTTTTCTCTTACATGTGAAACTTAGCCTTACAATTTTAAATACATGTATTTCATTTGGAATACCCATAGAAGTTAGGCAAATAATAAGAAGCTCATCTGGAGGAGGGGATTTTTCAAGATAGATAAAATAGAATATAATATTACAAAGGGGGCAAAGGGCAAAAATGAAACAGGAAAGATTAAATAGGATCAGGGTGGGAAGGGAGGGTAGAGAAGTCTTGGGGAGGAAAAAATTGACAGTAAAATCATTATGATTTACCATATAATGGGTTAGATTACAACTAGATACCATATGCTATTAAATACAACCCCCAGTACTAGGAATGAGTTGCCTCTTTTTGAGTTATTGGTCAGGGAGGTTTCATAGACCTCTCACCAGACATTACAAGCTATTTCCAGTGCTATCAGTTACCCTCCAGAAGTGGACAATAAGAATCCATTGCTGAAGATATCATGTACTTGAGTTACTGAACATAAAGAAATCTAGTTGGTAATCTATTGGAAGTTTCATTTCTACTGACTATCTTTCTTTTTTTAAATTGTTTTTATTGAGCTATACATTTTTTCTGCTCCCCTCTTTTCCTCCCTTCTCCCCTTCTATGCTGTCCCATGACCTCCATGTTCAAATTTTACTCTGGAGATCTTGTCTTTTTCTCCTTCCTATGTAAATTTGTGTATGTCTTTCTTAGGGTCTTCTTTGTTCTGGCTAGCTTTCATAGTGCTGGAGTTTGTCATGGATGCTGCTGGAGGAGACAATCACTAATATCATCACGTTCTGAACTCTATAAGCCTATATATAATAACCTGCCTGGCAAGATATGCCAAATGATGTAATAGCAGCATAAATGTAATGATGTCTATCTTTCTCTATTTTTTTAAGGATTTAAGGACCACTCCATGAAGGTAAATCTCTGTTGTTGAAGACACTATGCACTTCAGAAACAGGAACCAAAGGCTCCTGATCTGGAACTGACTTGAAAGCTTCCTCCTTGAGGATTAGCTTTAATGCTACCATAAGGCATCATGTAATTTTCCAAAGGAGCACATCAGACCTATCTAACTATGACACCCATTAACCCCCAAAATGAGCAACATAGTGAAATAACTCTAAGGGTGCAGCAGTGAGTTGTAAGCATACCTTGGTGATAACCAACAGCTTTCTAATTGGACTTAAGGCCTGCTCAATGAGAAAAAAATGAATGCTTCGTGCTAGAAACTTACCAACTACCTAAGTATAGTGTAGCCATAGATTTTGGAGGAGAACCCACAACTGCTAATTTACAAAGCCAGAATAACCCCTAATTACATTCTAAACATTTGTCCTTATACCCACAGGAAGTTTAGTCCTCATATCTCTCATCATGTAAACTTCTCTTTGCAATGGACAGAGATGTTTCAGAAAACCAAAACCAACCAAAATGGAGAGTTGTAGAGCCTGGTCCTAATAGGTGTAGCTACAAAACAATCCTTTTACCCAAGGCTAAAGTACTATTGTAGAAGAGGTGGTGGTAAGGTTATAAGAGCCAGAGTATTAGGGGTTTCCTGTAAGACTATGTCTTCTCAGATTTTTAGAAGCTACTCTCATGAGTTCTCACCAGAATGACTGCCTAGACATTTCTAAATAAGGACAACAGCAATAAACCTGGACAGGGAAAGCTTAAGAGACCTAAACCCTACACAAAAGTACTACAGGCAACTAAGAAATGCTGAAGATGGGATAAATACTTGTTCTCTGGAAAAGCACACCAATTGTTCATCTAATATCAAATGCATAGTCATGTACTATATCAAATGAAAATTCAAATTTAATATAATATCAAATGAAAACATCTACAGTATCATTATACAAACTCAGCAGGTCATATATACATATACATACATATACTATACATAATATGCATGTAAAAATAATTACAGAAAAGAGAGTTTATGAATTTGAAAATGGTCAAGTTTGGGTATTTGGAAAGATTTGGACAAAGGAAAGGCAAGTTAGAAATGATATAATTATATTATAATCTCAAAAACCAAAATAACTAATTACAAACTGAGAAATCAATCTTTAAAATCATACCTACTCAAAGGCAAACTATTTTTTTAAGCCAGCATTAAAACAAAAGATTAGAAACATCTAGACTCCAAGTCCAGTGAGTGCATTCAGTCTTCCCAACACATTAGTGCTATGTTCATCCCAAAAGAGAACCTCTACCTCCTATGGCCTATGATGTTCTTTGACTTAGCTCATAGTTGTTATGAAATTCCATGTGTAGATGGACTTATGACTACCCCATGTTATACAGGAAAACACTAAACTTAAAAAACTAATGTAATTCAAGTTTGACAAAATAACTAGTAAAAAGGGAAGATTCATTAAACAGATTTGTGAATTTCTTTTTGTGTGTCTAGAAAAGCTGAAGAATTTATAGAAAATACATGCACACATGACATATGATTAAGCTAGTTTTTAAAAATTCATTTCATTGATATGACTCCATCCCTTGATATGTCTATTAGGCATCATTTGATAAGTGGAATCAAAACATAGAATTCCTGCATCAATATAGAAAGTCTTAGAAAATGATGGTCTGTCTCTTTATAAAGAAAAGAGACTCTATATTCTACTCTTTGGGGTTTGTAAATCTTCAAGTATGAGCAAATCACTGTGAACATTTGAGCTCAGCCTTCTGCCAGGATTAATGACTTGGGAGGAAGTGTGACTAGGTAAATCTGTGGTAAACTCCATAGTCATATGTAGATTCCCCGCAGACAAGGAGCGGATTGTAATAGGTGGTGGAGAAGAGAGACACAGAATAAAATTCCTTTGCCCATTGCAGTGTTGGGAATGAGTGTCCTGGGGCGGGACTCACCTTGAACGATACAAGCACCAAGATAGGCAGCATCAGAAAAGGAGCACAACAGTCGACCATGAAAAATGTCTCTTTTAATTTGCAAATATAAAAGGTATCTGTAACAAAAAAGGAGAAATAATCATCTTAAGTTTTAGCTGAAGCTTGAAAGTAGGAACTTTTATGATGTCTACCTGAACCACACCTAGCTCTCGGCAGTAGTTTAGACATGCCAAGCTTCCTTCAGATGAGCACATGCAAAAAGAAGTGGAGATTTCAGAATTTAGAAACCCAAAGTTTAAGTTAGCTTCCAAAGGTAAAGGGGCCCAGCCTTTCTAAGAAACCCCCAAATTACCAAGAAACACAGGGCCTAGCAGTCACCAATACCACACAAAGAAAACCACAACTTATATCATCTATATTCCAAGAGTCTTTTGAAATTTGATTTCTTTTAAAACTTTATGTGTATTTGTAATCAGGAGCTATGAAGAATTACTATATGCTCATTCCTCCTCAATAAGAAACAACATCATAGTAACTATGCAATAAAAACAAAACAATAGCAACTAATTTGGTTATAAGACCAAATTAAGATGACAGACACTTGGATTGGGTTCTTATGTCATTATATTTGGTCTCTGATCCTCTGGAGACAAACTCAGATACCTGTAGAGGCACAAATGTGGTTGGTAAAGTGCACTGGGAAAGCAGAAGGAAAAGTGGGCTATATTATGGCAGGATCAACTACTGTGTAACTCTGCCTGGATTGTCTTGTAGGAAAGTTGAAAAGATGTATGCACTGTGTAAGAAAACTCAGGAGATTGTATTTACAAGGGAAACTTTTACATCGATAAGCGCTATTGCAATACTTTTTGTAAAAACAACATCAATAGTTAAAGAAGGGCAAGAGTTTGCAGATACTGGGTTCCAGGCCCTTGTCGCTGTCCTTTGCGTTCAGCTATGCTCATCAAATTCTTACCAGGTTCCACACTCTTTCTTAACCAAATTGACTCTCTGGCTTAGCTCTGGGGTTTGTTTTGTTTTTTAACAAAAGTAACAGATTCCAATCATGTCAGTTTAACATTTTTCTACAAGAGAACCCCCACCTCCTCACCCCCCATTTGCATATCCTTAGGGGAATCTTAAAAACACCTTTTAATTAGTCAATTACAACTTTGAGGTAGTTAATTTTAGACATCAGTTTTCCTGGGTCATGGGATTCTCAGATATGAAGTTAACCATGATTTTTGAGGACCTTTAAAAGTGTTTATGTGCATGATTTGTAGCTGAGTTAGTGAAACAGCAAAGCAGATGGTTGCCCGATTTGGGATTGATATCGTGCAAAGTGTCCCAGGACTGAATGGGGCAGAAATGCAGAGGGACGATGGATTTACTCTGTCTTACAACATGAACTAGAGTATTCTGCCTTTCGTACTCCTTATCCTTCAGACCTGGATGGAATCCACTGGCCCTCCACGGCCTCTTACCTGAAGACTGCGGAGCTTTTCAACCTGCATAAAGATGCAAACTAATTCCTTATAATAAAGTTTATGTAAACACACATACACAGTCACTCATGTAACACACACACACAAAATGCACTGTATGTTTCTGTGGGAAACCCCTGACTAAACACTTCTACTGCTTAGTAATTTGCCCTACTCAGCATTATGAGCCAAAGCATAACTTCACTTTAAAGATAAAGTCAAGGAAATGAAAAACCATAGAGGGAGATTTGTGTTCTAATCTCATAAGGGTTTTTCTTGGTCCTGGGCATGGGAGCTTCAGTTCTGGGGGCTACATAACTGAAATCACATTGAACACAATGAAGAACTCCTCATTGCCTTACTGGAGTTTTCATCACATGGATCTTCTCACAAACTTCATACTGTGCACTGCTCTAGCCATCAAGGTATTAGGGACTTTGAGAGATTCAAAAGACAACCTGTTCCCATTTAATACATAATTGTATTAAAAAGAGAAAGTAGCTAATAACTTTCTTACAGTTTGAATTAATAATCTAGACTAGCTTCCTGCACTGAAGCCTGTCAACTTTAATCAGTACATTCATTACCCAAAGACATTGTTAGAATGTTACTTGGATTTACTAAGTAGACAGGATATTCATAGCTACCTGGCGATTCTGTATTATGAGCCTGAATTTGAATAATAGGTTTCTCAATCTCCCATGTGTTATTCTTTGCTATCACTTTAAGAACTAACCACGCCCACCTCAGCCACTTCGGCCCTCCCTCGCTGCCATCTCTCTCTCTCTCTCTCTCTCTCGCATGTATGTGTGGGTGTGTGTGGGTGTGTGTGTGTGTGCGTGTGTGTGTGTATGTGTGTGTGTCTTTGTTTTATGTTTGTCTATATCTCCCTTTTTAAGTAATAGATGTCTAGCTTTATGTATAGCCTTATGTCCATTTACTCTGCCGTTCACCGTATCCAGCCGCGTGACTCTGCCGCTCGCCCAGGGACCCTGTACTGCTCCGGCGGCAGCTTCTGCCTGGCTTGCAGGCCACCCGGGCCATTATATCATATTCTTTTTTAAAAGAACAAAACCATAAACATAAGAATCACTAGGGGACGCAGGGCTCTTATTGTTAACCACTAGACAAATGCAAATTAAAGGTACTTTGAGATTTCATTTCATCCTAGTCAGAATGGGTACCATACAAACAAAACAAAACAAAACAAACAAAAACTAATGATGACAGATGCTGGCTCTGAAATGGGAAATGGGAAGCACTTAATCACTGCTGGTAGGAGTGCTAACTGGCACAGTCACTATGGAAATCAGTGTGGTGGTTCCTCAAAGAACAGTAAATAGATTCAACATATGACACATTATACCACTCTTGGGCATAAATCCAAAAGACTGATATACCGCTGCAGAAATACTTCCCCAAATATGTCCATTACCATACCATTCACAGTAGACAGGAATAGAAACAGTGTAGATGTCTATTAACAGATGAAAGGACAATGAAAATATGGTGTGTTTACATGATGAAATACTAATCAGTTATGAAATTCACAAGTAAATAGATGGAGTTGATCCAAAAAGAACAAACATCACATTTTTTCCTCATATTTGTACACATTAGCATAGACTCTTTAGATATATGTTTTCTTTACTCAGTGGGAGTAATGCACAGAAGTTAAGAAATTTAAATGATCATAGAAATGAGTTTTCGAGAGAGTAGTGATAAAAACACTTTTATAAAGGGTCAAAGGGAAATTATGGGGCAAGAAAGGATAAGGAAATGTGAGGAAGGGAGAGAGAGAGAATAAGGGAAACTCAGGATGGATGGAGAAATAAGACTAGAAACATTTCCAAAATGTCATATGGAAAATTACTATTTTAGAATCAATATATATATATATATATATATATATATATATATATATATATATATACTGAAAGACCTGGATAAATCCAGATCCCCCTAGCAGGAAAATAGAGCTAAAAATCTAGCGGGAAGAGAAGAATCAGAAATCTAGGATTAGCCAGTTCCAGGGTTTCAGGAACTAGCTGAAGATAAAGGTAGATTATAATCTTGAGAGTAATCTTGAGAAACAAAGAGATTTTCCCTAGTAATTATCACCCCCTAGTAATTATCACTAGAACAGGAACTAGCTGATTAATGATCTTGAGAGGCAGGGAGTTGCCCCTTTGTAATCATCACTGGACACCCTCCCTGCCCCCCTTTTCGGATTACTGGACTGTGTGGTTTCTTCCTATAAAAACTACTTCTCCCGGTCACTCAAGGTCGAACTCTTCCCCTGCGTGGGTTATGAGTCTCGGCCCCAGTGCACTGGTTCCCATCTTGTCTTGTCGTCTTGTCATTAAACCTCGTGTGATTGCAGCAAGGACGGTCTCTCGTGAGTTACTGGGGGGGGGGGTCGCGTCATCCAGAGGCTCGAGTGAGAGTCTCCCCGAATCGGGGGTCTTTCAATACTACATCTATACACATACAAAAAATAGTTGAAATGGAGCTATCTTATATCAGGTTAACAAATGCAAAGTTCTGTCCTAGTAGTAGGCTTCATGTTTTGGAGTTATGCACAAGTGAGGTCACAAATACCCCCAAACATTGCAAGCTATTGCCAATGCTCTTGGTTCTCCTCTAGAACGTGATGGTAAGAGCTAGCTACAGAAGACACCACATATTTGAATCTTAGAATATGGAAAAATCAAGCTGATATGGACCTGGAAACTTCTACTGGTTGGCTTTCAAAATGCTGTTGAGTTGTGCAATCTACCAGAGATCAGAATAAACATTGATTATAGCCAACAGTGCACCATGCAAGATACAATGCCTGAGCTATCAAGGCATGCCCACTGGAACAATAGTGGCTTGAACAACATGCAAACAACTAACAATTTTCTGATTGGATTTAAGGACTGCTTCACAAGCTGAAACCTATTTGTCACCATTACAGGACTGAGAAACTCTGACAAGACAGGTTTTAGGCCCTAGGAGAGAACCTACTACTCCCACTCTGACATATATTATACTGACATATATTATAACATAAATATTATACATTTATATTTATAATGATAAATCCTGATGATTTATCATTACACCCATAGATTAAGGTACCTCTCAATCTTCATCAGAGATGTTTCTGTTTCCACTAAATGATGATCAGAGCAATGACCCATAACTGAGCAAGGTGCAAGGAATAAGAGACTGCAGAATAGTCAAAACTAAATGGAACATGTATATTGTCTTCCCTCTTCCAAAGATGACAGAGTGTAAGAGCCAAATATTGTGGATGACTATAAAGAAATATTGTCTTTTGGACACAGAAGGGAAGCTGTAGTTATGAATTCAAGGTTGTTGTGACAAGATGCATAAAACTTGTTAAGTCCAAACCAGAGTAAATTGCAGCATGGAAAGGAGAATTGGGTACAAAGACTAGCAACCAGGTAGAGTTATTGACAATTGTTGGCTACTGGGAAAGAGTTCTCTCTCTCTCTCTCTCTCTCTCTCTCTCTCTCTCTCTCTCTCTCTTGCTCTCACTCTCGCTCTTTTACTAAGAAGGTAGCTCCTGATTATTCACTGTGCTCCAGCAGAAGGGCACACATCTCAGAATATCTGAACAACAAAAATTGGTCTTGAGTGAGGAAAAAACCCACAACCTGGATGGAAAGGGAAGTGGTGTAGTGACTGGAATAGCTGGAGAAGGGAGGTTGGAAATGATCAAACTCATTACAAGATTCTCAAAGAACTAATTAAAAATAAAAATAAAGAAAAAAATACCAATTCTACATTTTTATGAATGGTACCTTAGACCCAACTAAGTCAACATCTGGGCTCTGATCAAAATTTGAGCATTTATGTTCATTATTAATTATAACTAAAAAGTATTAAAAGTTCAAATGTTCACTGACCAATGAATGAATAAAAGCTGTGATATACACATATAGTAAAATATTACTTAAGTATAAAAATAAAATACAAGTAGATACTGGAGTTATTAACAATAATTTTGTTTTAATTTTAATATGAATAAGACTTTTGTTAACAACTGACTCATTTTTTATATTAGATTATGACAAATGTCAATATTTCTTTACCAATTGGTTGTCCAGTACCAAGTGGTCAGTCCTAAAAGTGTGTGTGTGTGTATACATACATATATATATATATATAAACATTATATGGATTGGCCAGATTTTATTTATAAATGTATATGTACACACCTATATGTATAAGTATACAATAACAATTACTAAAAAAAAAGGCTATGAATCTGAAGGAGAGCATGGTGTAGAAGCATATGAATGGATTAGAGGGAAGAAAGAGAAGGGAGAAGCATATGAATGGATTAGAGGGAAGAAAGAGAAGGGAGAAATGCATTTACAGTACAATATTAAAAGCAAAAGAAAAGAAGACAAGAGATTTATAGAGAAATAAATGTCAGAAATGAATCATTGTTTTTATTTGTTTTTAATTGAAATTTAATTTTCCCCTTTCATTTAATTCCTTCAACCCCTCCCAGTTACTCTCCCTCTAACCTCTTTCAGGGCCCTTCTACTCTCACTCTGCTAGTATTTCTTCTTTGATTATTATTGTTACATAATACACATATTTGTATATGATGCTCACATAATATACACATATATACATGTATACATAATACAATACACACAATCTCTATATAGGTACATGTATGTGTGTATATGTATATAATAATATATGCATGTGTGTTATTATACACATACAGTAACATATGTATGTATGTATTTTTCTAATTATACTGGTAGTATATTCAAGGAATTTTGAATATTAGTATTTTCAAGACTCTTGTCTTGGGATTTTGGTGAGGCCCTAGGTGTGTCTTTTGTTATTTTGTGCAAATTCTTTGTACTTTTTTATTGTTGTTATTTGCGGTCTGGGGTAGTGTCTATGTATTATTTTGGTTTTGTGCTGTGTTGTATGTTATTTATTTATTTACTTATTTCTTACTCATTGTACTCCTCTGTCTGGGTTTATGCTTAGAACTGAGGAAAAATTAATCAAATATATTATAAATAAACTTTTAAAATTCTGGCCAAATTAGGTCACAGGTACATACTCCATGATTCCACTGATATGAGGTATCTAAAGTAGACAAATCTATAGGCATTGAAAATACTTTGTTTGTTGTTGGGGACAACAGAATGGAGGGACAGATCATGAAACTGAAAATGACATTTATGCCCTGACAATGCTGAAGCATGCATGGGTAGTCTGTACATGGCAGTTCTGTTGAACTTGTCCATATTGGTTTTATGGTTTAAGTTGATGAGGATGACTGACCAGGTCTAATGTATGCTTTTGATGTTTTCTAATGGAGTAGTAAAAATATTCTAGAATTTAATAATGGTAACAGTTATCTAGTATTATGAATGTGATTGTAAAATTGATGTGTTTATTAATTTAGCCCAATGAAAAAAAAGATTACAACATAACATTACCTAAAATATCTGCTACATATTTTTCTTCTTCATATTTCACATACACGCACGCACGCACACATATGTACACACTCATATATTCACTTACATACATACACACATCTACACACATTCATATGCACTCATACAAACACAGATGTACTCATACCTACATATACACACACATACATATACACACACCTATACATATGTGTATACATGCACATAGAAATATACACACATACATACCACATACACTTGTATGCACACATCACACTTACACTTTCATTTTCTGCTCCTGTTCTCCCAGCACAAAACTCATGAAAGGATTGTGGACAAATTAATCACATAACACAGCTATCTTCTCCCTTCACTCCTTATGGACAAGTATCACCATAGGCTACAGATGACAGAAAAGCAAAATCTGCGAAGCTCTTCCCACTCCACCTGCCAATAATCAGCACAACATGGTTCTGAATCCATGCAGGCTATTGTTAGCTATAATTGCATATGGAATTTTTGATGTCACCAAATTAGAGACTCAACAAGAACTAAGTGTACAACAGCTTCTTCATATGTATATCCAGGAGGTAGACATCTTGGAATCTTGCTCAGAAGCTTTTACCAAATTTTGCATGGAAACAAGTCTCCAAGATTAACTGAAAGTAAAACCAGCAGAGAGAGTTGAAAGTCTGGGAAGCAGACAGTTCAGAATTGAGTTGAGAAGAGTTGCACAAATGAAGGGAAGTCTAACTGTAGTTCTCATTTAGCAAGTGGAAAACCGAACAGTTAATGTCTATTTTGTCTAGAAATCTGTTTTCCAGCAAGGCTTAGATCCAAAAGACAGACTAGGGCTTCCCTCTGCATCTGCTCACATCTGCTTTGTTAGCACCCCACTGTCAAATGTTCTCTGAGAGCCTCCCTCTTATAAGCATTGCTTCCTTGTACAGATAATACTTTCTAAATGTCAATGATTCTCTAGAAAATATCCCAAGATCATCAAGAATAAGAGGAACACAATGCTTACTGCATAGCCTGCTTCCTGGAGGAGGAATTCTGATATTATTCTGATGCAAATAATAGGAATGTCTAGCCTGTAAGACAGCAGAGACTCTGATGGGATACAAGTGGCAGAGTAAATATGCAGAAAAAGAAAAATACCTTGTGAGCTCTTCTTTAATCTTCAGGGGTTCATGTGGGTAGAATTTCACTCTAAAGCACATGGTGTATGGTGGGTGAGCTGAAACATCATAAAGAAAAGATGTGAGGTAAGCGGCAGGAGATCACAGACTCAGTCACACACAGGAACATCAGCCGGGCAGCCTCACAGACTAGCAGTCAAGGGAGGGGTGTTTAAAGGGAGAAACCAACAGAATGACTAAGAAAATAACATGATGGGGACACAAAGAAAGTGCTTATAGCACATCCAGAGGAAATGCAGAACGCGAGCAACCAAGGAGGAAGCCCATCTTTCCTCATCCAACTCACCTTCATCCTGTCATCTCTCCAGGTTACAGGTTCACAGGAGTATTTTCTCCTGTGATACTTCCCACCCTCATGCAAAAGACAAACTGCCAGAAAGCACCATTCGGCTTTTGGGTACATGGAAGAATATTTAGCGTATAAGATGGAAACTTGCCATTGCATGTGTTCTTAAACCAAAAAGCTCTGTCTTTGAAAGATAAACTGAGATTTTAAAGAAGTTAGCCACATAGACACCTGTAGGTTTTTATTATAAGTTATATATAAGATTAAATGGAATTTTATTCTCTACCTTTTCTTTCAAGGTAAACAGAGCTTAAATCATCACCAGACAGTGAACAATTGTAGTAATAAGGAACGGCGGGCTGTGTTCCCGCCGTCTGGACTCCAGCTAGCTTATACTCGAAATAATTACATGGAAACTGTATTCTTTTAAACACTACCTGGCCCATTATCTGTATCCTCTTATTGGCTAACTCTTACATATTGATCTAACCCATTTCTAATCATCTGTGTAGCACCACGAGGTGGTGGCTTACCAGGAGGATTCTAACCTGTGGCTGTCTCGGAGAGGAGAGTCATGGCGACTGCCTCACTGCCTTCTTCCTCCCAGCATTCTGTTCTGTCTACTCCACCCACCTATGTTCTGACCTATCAGGCCAAGCAGTTTCTTTATTAATTAACCAATGAAAGCAGCAAATAGAAATAATACCCACCTACATCAAACAATATTTGAACTATTCTCGATGTAATTAATTTTGTTTCATAGAAAGAACCACAAGTTTTAGGTATGACTGTACAATGAAGAAAATTCATATAGAAAATAATTATCACAATGATTTTATAATTGAGCTGTTGAGATAGCTTGGCAAGGGATGAAGCTGACCTCTGAGCTTGAGGACCTGAGTTTCGTCCTTGAAACCTCCACAGTAAAGTGAAGCACCAACTCCTGCAAGTTGTCCTTAGACATTCACATGCCATACACCAAATAAAAAACAACTATAGCTAAAAATAATATAATATAAAATACACTCATCGTAAGGACATCACTTTTATGTTAGCAAGGAAAATCTGAACACACATACACACACAAATGAGTACACACTCATAAGCACACAGGAGTCAGTATGCTGTTTTTATGCCAGCAATTTTCTTGGGTTGTTGATACCAATGTGGTCCTGTGTTCATAGGTTTAAGACACGAAGTTCTTAATGAGTTGATGCATACCTACTGCATTCCATCTCTCAGGAAGCAGAGGCAGGAAAATCACAACGAGTCTGAAGCCAGACTAGTCTACACAAGAGTTCTATGTGAATGAGAGTTATGTAGTGAGACCCTATATCATTAAATTCTAGTTAAAGAAGAGAGACTCAGTAGGTGACTCAGTGAGAAGAGCACTTACTGTGTAAGCGAGAGGATCCAAGATAAAGTTCCTAGCACACCCAAAAGTCAGCCTGGCTTTGCAAACCTGCAACTCCTGCGCTGATGGACAGACCTGGGGGACTACTGCTTTTTCAGGCTAGGCAGTTTAGCCAGATGGTGTGTTTCAGGTTCAGCAAGCAAGCCTGACACCCATGCCTCCCCAAAAAAGGTATAAAATATCGAAAGAAGACAAACAATGTTCTCCTCTGGCCTCCAAATGCATGTGAACGGTGAATGCATATACGCACCCTAGTACATATACTGTACACACCATACACACAAGTAAACATAATGACAAGTAGTATATTTTCTCAAGTACTTGGAAAAAATGGGCACTTTTCATATGTCAATAATACAACTTAAAAAATACACTGTCTCAAGGCATTCATCCTTTGTATCTAGAATGTAAATATTTTATCTCTGAACATTATCTAGAATTTATTTGACTTTTTGAAAAAACATCTTTAAATTTTGAAACTAATGGATTTTGATTTTCATTACAAACCATTTGTGCTTTTTATTACTTTTTATTTTTCAGATTATAATTACATAATTTCTCCCTTTCCTTTCTTCCATCGGAACATACTTTTAACAGAAAACTATTTCTACATGAGAAGAACAATTGAACCAAAGATTGAAGAGGATACTTTTCTCTATTTTGTGCATTTCTTCCTCCTTTATCTTATATTAAATTTTTCTAAGTGCAGTTTTAACATAAGTGATCATTATAGAGACAGATGAACACATAGATAGATGCCCAATAAAAAGAATGATAGGTAGGCCGTTATCCTTCAGTTTATTTCTGTTCCTCACCTTTCATTGTTCAATATCTCATCAAATGTAATATTTCCTCTTACTATTAACAAATTTCTTTATTTCTTTCTGTATCTTTTGTGAGAAAAACATATATTCCCATATGCTTATAAATGTGGAGGCATCTTTAATTATTCTCTCAAAAATAAATCAAACCATGCATGTTTCTTTTGTTTCTTTCCTATAAAGGTGTACCTGCCCTTTCCTCTAGTAGGGTAGATATAATCTTTATACAATTCACTTTCCATTAGTTGTAATAGATAATATTATATGCAAATCCAAATTTACTCACATATTTGAATTTAATTATCACTTAGGTTATTTTCAAATTTTGTAATTAAAATATGGTTTGGTATGCATTATTTTATATACGTCATGATACGCTTCAAAACTGGAATGGTTGGGCCAATATGTACTGGAAAATGTTTTCAAAGATACAGAAAACTAATCTCCTCACAGGAGGCAAAGTATAAGAAAGGTGATAACAAAAGGTGCCCTCCAAGTAGGGCCATAACCTGCTATCACTTGGGCTTATTGTTTCCTACAGTTGGTTGTAGCACATAGCTAAGCTCATCACACACAAATCAAGAGTAGAGATATTACAAAGAAAGACATAGCTTCACAGTCACCATCTTAAGTATTTCTGAGTGGAGGAACATCTCCACCCAGTCATCCTTACTCTCACCCAAAGTCTGCCTCTGTCATGTAAGAATTCTACCTTAATAGAAAACAGTGCTTACAGTACTACAGTCTTTTCCTTTTTTAAAGTTTTAAAATATTTATTTAACTTATGTATATGACTATTTGGCCTTCACATATGTATGTGTAGCTCCTCTGTGCCGGTGCTTGCAGAGGCCAGAAGAGAACAAAGAATTCCTGGGCCCGGAGTTACAGACTGTTGTTACTGGCATGTGGATTGGGGAAAACTAACACAGGTCCTCTGCAAGAGCAACAAATGATCTTAACCACTGAGTCTTCAACTCCAGTTCCAACCTGAGTCTTTTCTGAAACAAATACCCACAATTCTTCTATCTCCTTCTCCAAAGATACTTTTGTAACTGTCACAATCCATGGGGGCTCCACGCTTCCTTAAACATGGGGTCTTGATGTCTCCTTAGTACTAAGTCTTAAAGATTCATAAATCTTAATTATTTTCATTTGTGTTGTGGCTTGTCAGAACCAAAAGGACTCCGCTTTGTCCTGACATCTACCTGATTTTTTTGTGGATGTGATCATAGAAAAAAGTAGCATGTGTTGATGATACATTATTACTAGCTCTATTATCAGAGAAGGAATGACATCAGGCAATAGGAAAAAAAAAAGAGTTACATTTTAAGGACAATTGTTTGGTTTTCTTATATTGTCATAAAACCCATCATATTATACCAATATTGGACCAACATCATTGGTTCCATTCAGACAATAAAATAGAGTTGTTTCAACTCTCTTTACAGAAAAAAACAAGGTAAAAAAATAGCCATCTACATGTTGTTGCTATTGTTGTTTTTTTCAACAAGGAGATTAAGGGAAGTCATTTATACTTTTTAGTGGGTACTGCCTTAGGGTAGTTCTGACATCTACCCATATCACCTGTATTAATTCTGAAAAGGAACCCCTCTAAGTGCTAAATACCATCTGGCACTTACTGTTTGGGATATGTCCAAAGACTTCAATTTCCCCCTAGATAAATGCTTGTCCTCCTAAATAGATAATAAGCTTCTCTGCCCAATCTGGTACCCACATCTTTTTATTCTTTCACTTCAAAATAATGAAATGAGGTAAAAGGTAATTCTTATCTATGACAAAGCCGACGGAATCAGAACAGAGAACCAGGGTCCAATGCTAACAGTGCCATCATGAAAAGCCTTTGTGAATTGTTTTTCTGTCAGTTAACATTATCCCTCCATAGTTTTACATCTCTGCTTTGGTATTCAGCTTCAGCAACCATTACAGGGCATACAGGATGGTATGGGCTACCATATCCCTTTTAAAACAAGACCCCAAGGTTTAAAAGGGAACTTCCTGGAGTGTCCTTGAACAAACACCTATCTTTTCTACTTCCTGTTTTGAAAGAGGGGTTTGGATGGATCTACTGGGTTTTTGGTGTATTCACATGGGACATTAGTTAAGCATAAGATTTTCCTATCAGAAAATATGCTCTTATCAGGAGGGACATAAACAGGAGTTATAAATGGGAGGGAAGAGAAGGGAAAGAGTAAATTGAGCCATGCAAATTTTATGTGTGTGTGTGTGTGGGGGGGGATAAGCAGCAGCAAAGGGAAGAATATGCAAAACCCATTTTAAATGGCAGGATCATACAACTGCTCTGGGAAACACGGGAGTATCTACTGACTGTCAGACAGACCAGCTGTCTTCTGAGGGAATATCAGTGGTCCCCTTTACATCAGCAGATCCCTAAGTCCCCCTCTTTTGGTAGTCATTCTTTTCAGAAATAATTTCCTTCTCTTCAGAAAGATTTTTTATGCATTTATTGGTTTCTTAAAACATTCATACAATATATTT